CTAGAATCAGGTGAAAATAAAAACCCAACATACCCCAAATTATGGGCTAAATTGAAAGTAGTCTTATGAGGGAAATTTATACCTGTAAATGCCTTTATTAAGAAATCAGGCCGGGGGGGCGGCGGGGTGTGTGTGTGTGTGTGTGTGTGTGTGCGCGCACCTTTAATCCCAGCACTCAGGAGGCAGAGGCAGGCAGATCTCTGAGTTCAAGACCAACCTGGTCTACAGAGCATGTTCCAGGACAGCCAGAGCTACACAGAGAAACCCCATCACCAAAAAAAAAGAAAGAAAGAAAGAAAGAAGGGAAGAAAAAGAAAAGAGAGAGAGAGAGAAACCAGAGGGTTGGTACTGAAAAAAAATGGCTTAGCAGTTAAGAGTGCATATTGCTCTTGCATCGGAATGAAGTTCGCTTCCTGGCATCCACATCAAGTAGCTCACAACTACCTGTAACTCCAGCTCCATGGGATCTGCCATCCTCTTCTGACCTCCAAGGTCAGCTGCAGTCATGAGCACACACCCACACACAGACAAACGCGCATTGACATCATTTTTGTAAATAAATAATGAAATCAGAGACTTCGCAAACAAATAACTTAATGATGCACCTCAAAGCCCTGGAAAAAGAAAAACAAGTCAAACCACAAATAGAAGACAGAAAGAAATCTTTGAGATTAAAGAAGATGCTGATGAAATACCAGCAACAAATAGCAATACAAAGCATCAGCCAGAGTTGGTTCCTTGAAAAGACAGACAACAGTGAAAAATCCTTAGCCAAACTAAACAAAAGAAAAATAAAGAAGGCAAAATTAGTTAAAGTTGAAAAAGGAATCATTTCAGCAGACACAAGTGAAATTCAGAAAACCGTTAGGTCATACTTTATTAATATATGTCCCACTCAATTAGAATACTCAAAGCAACAGATGAGTCTCTAGATGAATGAGGACTGCCAAAATTAAATCAAGATGAGACAGAAAATTGAAGCAGATCTGTAAGAAAGAGTACCATTGAGTCAGCAATGAAAAATCACCCAACTAATAGAAGACTAGGCTCAGTGGACCCAACTTATCAGACCTTCAAGGAACACTACCACCAAAACTTCTTAAACTATTGGATAAAAGAGGAGAGAAATGAAGGCCACCAAACCCTTTTAGGAATCTGTGCCTACCTGGGTAATGAGACCAAAGACACAACGAAAACTTAATGACCGAGCTCCCTGGCAAGCATAGGCAACCCCAGAGACTATGTCATCGTCTTTGCTTTCCCATCAGAGCCAGAGAGTTAGATTCTTTTGCTGAAGACACTACACTCTTCGGTTGCATAAAAAAAAATCAACATAGAATAATCAACCTGGAAATGAGGCCTTTCGCTTTCTCCTTACCAGCCGCCTCTTGGAGCCCCAGATGGTGTAGTGCAGGCCGTTCCACTGGGGCAATGTCGGCACGACCGTTTGGAGTATAATTGATCACTTTACGTTTGGATTTCAGACCCTCTCCACAGAAGGAAATTCATGACTGATCCTTTAAACCTGGTTAAAAGCTCATGGCTGGGGAGGTCTTAGGTCCTAGATGGGTACCTAATACTGTTGTTTTGATAAATGAACATGTTGTCAAACTGTCTTTTAAGTGCTTATATTTATATTCATAAATCAATTCTATGTCAGCTATTGTCAGTGAAGTGTCCCTTGCAGTGGGCTGTGGTTAACAGAGATTCATAACTGGTCAAACTACTGAGAATAAGTGGCTGTGAAATGCTCAAGCCTAAAGAGGACATCTGTATCATCCCCTCCAAGGCTAAGAGATCATTACAAAATACAGGACATAAAGAATATGTGAGCTGGAGAAAGGGGAGGAGTGTTGGGAAACAATGTCTTCTGGACAACATGACATGGCCATTGTGCTCATGAACTCACAGTGGCTCTGGCGACCCATATAAGACTAAGATCATCAATGTTCCCTCATGGTTGGAGGAGAGGTTCATAAGCCCCGCCCTCCCAGGGGTATTATTGGCAGTCAGTGGTTCCTTCAGGAGAGGGAGACAGTTTGCATCAATGGTGCATCCACTGGTAAATTACCCATGCTCCGCCAGGCGGTGGTGGTGCACGCCTTTAATCCCAGCACTCGGGAGGCAGAGGCAGGTGGATCTCTGTGAGTTCGAGGCCCTCCTGAGCTACAGAGTGAGTTCCAGGAGAGGCGCAAAGCTACACAGAGAAACCCTGTCTCGAAAAACCAAAAGAAAAAAAAATTACCCATGTTCCGATAAAAAACCCATAACCCTTCCATTTATGCTCATGCAAGCAATCCTAATTAAACTCAGTGGGTCACAAAAACTGAAAAAGAAAGAAGGAAAGAAAAAAAAAAAGCAAGAAACATTTCAGGCAAAATGAGAAGCAGCCCACCCAAAGTAAAGTAATTATTTTTGGCAAGTGAGGATCTGAAAGATTTTCTTGTCTACTTTCCTGGGTTTTCAGTTTATCTTATTTTACTTTCATTTTTTTTTCCAAGACAAGGTCTCTTGTAGCCAAAGCTGAACTTGAACTCCTGATCTACCGGCCTTGCCTTCCCAAGTGGTGAAATTACAAGTATATGCCCTCTGATTGGCTTTTTGCTCTTTATGATGCTGTTGAAGGCAACATTTTATTTTCACAGGTAACAAAGAAAGCAAACAAAAATAGGTAAGCTAAGCGTATTTTTGAAAGGACAGAGAGAAATGTCAAGGTCACACACAAGCATTGCTGTTCAAAGTCAAACTGCAGCTGGGCGTGGTGGCTCACTCCTAAAATGCCAGCACTGGAAGTCAGAGGCAGGAGGATCACCAGGAGTTCTAGGTCAGCCCTATTTACCTAGTGAATTCCAGGCCATCCAGGACTACAGAGCGAGGCCCTGTCTCAAAAACAAAGCAAAATAAAACTCAAAACAAAATGCAGCTCCCAAGAGGAAGGTGAACCTGGCCTGATAAAGTGACTCATTTTCTTCCCCGGGCTCCTGTCAGAGGCCGCTCTCCACCCCACCCTCATTGTTCACCAGTTTATCAAAACCAACATCAAATCGTCTCTCCGTGAGTAATTTGGGAGAGAGGCCCGCTTTTAAAGCTCAGTCATCTTCAATGGGCTCTCTCTGGTGACACAGAGGGCACTTACAGCTCCCCACCCACCTGTGAAATGGCACTTGAAAAAGAAATCAACCGAACAGGGGTAGAAATTAAACTCAATGAAATGTACTCATTTTAAGTATATAGTTTGTTGGGTTTTCAAAATCCATGTAACAATCAAACCATCACTATCAAGATCTGGAGAGATGGCTTAGTGGTTAAGAGCACTTGCTCTTGAAGAGGATCTGGGTTCTGTTCCCAGCACCCATGTGACCACCTGTAATTCCAGTCCCAGGGGATCCAACCCTCTTCTAACTTTGTGGGCACAATACATACATATACACACACACACACACCACACACACACACACACACACACACACAATCATCCATATATAGAACATTTCTACTCCTCCAGAGTAACCTGCCCCCTCCCAGCCAACTTCCACCACTGCCTATGCCAAAACCACTCAGGTTCTGATTCTAATTTGCATCATAAGTAGTTTTAACTTTTGAACTCTGTATGAAGTCTTGCGTTGTGTATACTTCCATATGAGTCTCTTGCTGAGTATTATATCACTGTGTGCAGAAGGACCTGCTCATCCCACTGCGGTGGTGTTCTGATGAATGAAAATAACAGCTCTTTGGGCATCCTGCTGTAACTCCCATCTGGGCAATTCCAAGTTTAGAACTGTTACAAAGGCTACTGTTAAAACGTTCTTCTCGGCCAGGTAGTGGTGGCTCACACCTTAAATCCCAGCACTTGGGAGGCAGAAGCAGGCAGATCTTTGTAAGTTCAAGGCCAGCCTGGTCTACACAGTGAGTTCCTGGACAGCTAGAGTTATACAGAGAAAAAAAAAAGCAGGAAATTTTAATGTGCCATGCACAATAATGGACCTAGAGGTCATTACGCTAAGTGAGATAAGCCAGATACGCAAGCTAAATATGTGGCTTCACTTATAAGATGAATATAAAACTGTCCAACAGCACAATCATCGAGCAAAGGGAAACGGAGACTTGAAAGTCAGTGGGTATAAACATGTCAATTGTATGAGTAAGTTCTAGCAATCTGTATAGCATGATACCCATGCATAACAATTAAAAAAAGGAAGAAAATGCTTTAAAAGGAAGTGGAAATGACCCAGATGGTCATCTATTGATAAGAGAGTAAGAGAAATGTCTATGTTAATGGAATATTATTCAGCAATAAGAAGAAATGATGCATTACAGCATGCTATAATACAGATGAGTTTTATAAACAGTGTGTTCAGTACTAAACCAGCCACAAAGAACATGCATTGTGTTGGTCCATCAACATGAAATGTCCAGAAAGGGCAAAAGACATGAAGTAGACTGAGTTCCTAAAGGCCATGTACCAACTGCTAATGTGTAAACCATTTCTTCTGGAGTGACAGCATGGTTGTGGTAATGACTTACACACTTCGTGAACATGCTAAAAGCCATTCTTCACAGAATTTAAATGGGCAGATTATATTGTATGCAAATTATACCTCAGGAAGCTGTCTTCAATTCCTTTTCAAGAAATCAGGGCATGGTGATTAGTAGGGGAAACAGATGCAGAAAGGGTCATTGTAGGTTCAAGGTCAGCCAAGCGTATATATTGAGTTCTAGGCTAGCTAGGACTACATTGAGGACCGTGTTTCAAGAGAACAGAAACAAGGTAACGTAAATAAGCCTGTGGGTGGGATTTTAGCCTGTTGTCTTGGCTTCATATCCAGGAACGAAGACACTGACGGAGTGAGCCTTTCCAGTCTCTCACACTGCTCTCCTGCTCAACTCACCCTCCTCCAGCACTGCCCGAGAGCTCCAGAGCTTCTCAGCACCGGTGTCTGCTACTGTCTGTCTTGCTATTATAGCCATTCTGTAAGGAAAAAGTATGTGCTTCTTTCTGATCAGGACAGAACTGACTCTGCCCATGGGTCTGTTCAGTACAGGTGAGTGACTGAGCAGTCAGTTTGAGTAGGTATATACTTTCCTGTTTTCAAACAGGAGAACAATATGTCAGATTGTGGTTTTAATATTGCTTTATGGGCTTATATAATTCATGTACACAAGAATGAACAAATCTTAAGAGTATAGCTCACCAGACTTCTTATTTAATTTATGCATAGCCATGAGGCCACCATTCTGACACACAAGGATCACTGCCTCAGGAAGTTCCCTTCAGCTGTTGGCCAACCACTCCCCAAGAGACAACTCTGTTCTCACTTTTTCATCATTTTTTCCTTTCCTCTGAGGTTTTCTACAACCTCAGATAAAGATATCATACAGTACACTTTCTTTTGAAAAAGCATTTTTTTTTTTTTTGGTCATCACAGTATTTTTGAGATCCATTCATGTCGAATGTATCTCTACTTTACTAATCCTGTTTATTTTTGAGTAATAGAATGATTTTGTGTGTAAACTACAGTTTGCTTCCCGTTTTTCGCTACCGTCTTATGCTCCTTGAGTAAACAAACACTTTGTGATAAGTCCCAGCAGGCAAGTGTTATACATGTGACATTTCCTGCTGGCAGGTGCAAATTACAATTGCCAAGACGAATGTCATCAAACTTTCCCGTTTGGGCCATTCCCATGATTGTGCGGTAGGTAATTCCTAGGTGACTAAGCATGTTGGGATCCTCTTTTAGGGCTTGTCTGCTTGCTAACCATTCACAAAACTGCTTTTTGTTGAAGTGTCCAGATCTGATGCCCATGTCTCAGCAAAGCGGCCTATCTTTTTATTGTTGAGTAGAAAGCATTCTTTATACATTTCACTTCTACCCCCTACGCCAAGCACATGTATTATGGATATTTTCTCCAGTCTTAGGTTAATTGTTCATCTTCTGAACAATGTCTTTTTTTTTTTTTTTTTGGTTTTTCGAGGCAGGGTTTCTCTCTGTAGCTTTGTGCCTTTCCTGGAACTCACTTTGTAGACCAGGCTGGCCTCGAACTCACAGAGATGCGCCTGGCTCTGCCTCCCGAGTGCTGGGATTAAAGGCGTGCGCCACCACCGCCCGACCTGAACAATGTCTTTTGACAATAATCTTTATTTGGTTTGCTTTTAGCTGTTAGGGAAAAAAGTGTTTCACAATATTGTTGGGCTTTGCTGTTGTTTTGTTTTTTATTTTTGTTTTGAGACAGGGTTTCACCACATAGCTCAGACTGGCCTGGAACTCTCTACGGAGGCCATGCTGATCCTCCAGCTTCAGCCTCCCATGTGGTGAGATTATAGGACACCATACTGAGCATACACAGTACATATATGTGTGTATATATGTATGTATGTATGTATGTATGTATGTATGCATATGTGTATATGCAGACCAGGCTATCCTGGAACTCACTCTGTAGACCAGGCTGGCCTCAAACTCACAGAAATCTGTCTGCCTCTGCCTCCCAAGTGCTGGGATTAAAGGTGTGTGCAACTACACCCAACTCACATGTTTTCTAAAGAAATGAGTATTTTAACTCCCACTTTACAGAAAAACGGAGCCCAGAATGAGGAAATTCTGTCCCCAAACCCATAAACTTGGGCTTACCTAGAAGAGCAGTGCGGTGCAGCTCTGACTCTGGGGCCAGCCTCTGCTCACATTTAACTTTCAAAACCGAAGGCAGCTGCACAGGCAGTTTGTTGTGAATGTACTATTTGGTGTAAACAAAGACCAGTGAGACTTTGGGGTTCAGAAGTAACATGCTGAGGCTTCTGGCCTACGGGAATAAATAGAGATATTGAAGGGAGGAAATGCCCTCCCCTCCAGGAAAAAAAAAAAGCAGAACTGCGACCTGCCCCTGCACTGCCTTCTCTGATGAGAACACCTGATCAATTAGCACTGCTGTTGTCAAAACTTGCTTCCCCGTCCAAGCTGGGAAGCCTCAGGCCGCTAGGCTTGGCGCACATCACCTCCCCCCTCACAGGCTGGGTTTCAAGGATTCGTCTGTGCAAGAAACGTCATGTTCTGTCTCCCAGACGATGTTTCTCCCACCCCAGATGTAAGACCAGAGGCCTCTTATCTGGTACTATTTATCTCTGTGCTAATAAAGTGCCTGGCTGTGAGGGAAGCTTTGAAAGCACTCTGCTGTTGTCTCTTGCATCAACTGTTGGGGTCACTGGCTCTCCTCTGACTCCTCCCTGGGATCACTGGCTCTCCTCTGCCTCCTCCCTGGGATCACTGGCTCTCCTCTGCCTCCTCCCTGGGATCACTGGCTCTCCTCTGCCTCCTCCCTGGGATCACTGGCTCTCCTCTGCCTCCTCCCTGGGATCACTGGCTCTCCTCTCCCTCCTCCCTGGGATCACTGGCTCTCCTCTGCCTCCTCCCTGGGATCACTGGCTCTCCTCTGCCTCCTCCCTGGGATCACTGGCTCTCTTCTGGCTCCTCCCTGGGATCACTGGCTCTCCTCTCCCTCCTCCCTAGGATCACTGGCTCTCCTTTGCTTCCTCCCTGAGATCACTGGCTCTCCTCTCCCTCCTCCCTAGGATCACTGGCTCTCTTCTCCCTCCTCCCTCTTCTGTCTCTGGGCCTCATAGTTCAGGCTCCTTGTAAGAACGAGCCCCAGAAATGCACGCAGCCGTGCCTTCTATTTCCTCTTTCAAGAGCACAAGGAATCAGTAGTTACATAGCACGCATACTGGGCCTTTGCCATCCTCATGGGACACAGCCAGTGCAGATCAGGCGATACTTTTAATTGGTGAGGACACTGAGGTCCCAAGCTAACAATGACTAGTATTTGTGAGTCTTTCTGGCTTGGTGATGCTGGACGTGGAAATCATGCTACTGTCTACATCTTATACAGGGACTAGCTGAGGCTCAGGGGTGATAGAATCAGACTAAAAGCTCATAGCTCACCACTGACAGGACTCAGAGCAGAACCTGGGTCACTCTCAAGCCACAAGCTGGGGTGCTGGCTGGAAAAGGCAAAGGAAGGTCCCTTGGGCTTTGAAATTCTTGTTGTCCCCCCCACTCTGAACTGAGTTCTCAAAAAGTTTGAGTAGGGTCCAAAGAGACATGTCATGTTCTGTTACTCCTTGTACTGTGACATAAGAAAAAATTAATATATATCAACAGCTAATAGCATAAATTCTCCACCACAGAAGACTAAGGATTGATGGATGCTGAGGCATTCATTGCATGTGACCTGTCAACAGGTTGAGAATGAGGCCCATATTGTCCCTGAGATTCCTGTAGGGCAGTGCATAACCCAAGCTAGCAAAGGAAAATCAAAGAAGATCAACACTACTATAAAGCTAATTATAAACAGTAAAAATAATGCAAGGGTAAGCTGTGGATGTAGCTCAGTGGTAAAACACTTGTCCAGCATGCACAATAGTCAACAACAAATAAAAATAATAAACAAGGATAAAAACAGCTTCAACTAAAATAGAGGCTAATCACTAAAGCAGTTATTTACATACCAGATGCTCTCTGTGAACTCTTTAGTCACCGTTCATTTGAACCTTCAAGCAGCTCCACGAGCCTGAAACTGAAACATCAAGAGATCGTGGGCTGGACTGGAGAGCTGGTTCCTGAAGGACAGCAAAGTATAGGTCCCCAGAATCCACATAAAAGCCAGACATGGTGGTACACATCTGCAACCCCAACACTGAAGGACACAGATAGGCAGGCATAGTAGAAAACACTTGTAATCCCACTTCTGGGGAGGTGGAGACAAGTGGATCCCTGGGGCTTGCTGGCCAGTCAATCTAACCCACACAGTGATCTTTAAGCCAGTGGGAAATTCTGTCTCAAAATATATACATATATGTGTGTGTGTGTGTATGTATGTATATATATATATTTTCGACAGTACCTGAGGTTGCCATCTAGACTCACATGAATGTACACATACACGGGCATTCACACTCATGTGAGCACATAACCACCCACACATGTGCACACACATGCTAAAGAGAGAGGAGAAAGGAATGAATGACTGAATGACTCATGGGCCTATATCTCAACAGGTTAAACCCAAGAAATCCCTCATTCCTGAAATTAGGAGAAGCTTGGGAAGGGAAGGGAGGAAGAATGGGTCTGGGATGAACAAGGAGAAGGTACAAGGTGGCCTATGTGTCAAGCTCTCGTGCGCTTGTGAGCAGAAAGTCCGGTTATAGCCCAAAGGGAAATGTCCGGCATCTGACTGGTCGACCAGACCCTGTTGAGGCCAGAGAAACTGGAGGCAGCTGGGGCACACTCCTCATCTGGAGCTCTGGCAAGACACAAGGTGGACATGGGAGGCCTTGCAAGAGACAGGAAAAGAAACAGACCCGGTCAAGGAGCCGCAGGAGAGCAGGGCCTGACCCTTGTTTCCTCCTCAGCTGTTCCTGTTTCCAACACATGAGTCTGTCTTTACAACTGCGTACACACCCCTCCCCCCTTTTCCCTACAAATTGCCCTCCCTCCTCTGCTCCCCACCTCCTACTTGACCACCTTACCGCGTACTCTGCTCTAACAAAAGCTGTGGATCTTTCTTCATTTCTCACTGTGTGAACATCCCAGGACACCTACCTGCCTGGTGCTAGGCCCTGGCCTGATGGTGACCAGTATAGGAAAATGACACTGGCCTCCTTCCCTCTCCAGGAAGTCTCCAGTTCAGGGAAGGCTGTGGCTCTGAGGTTCTGCCTAGCATTCACCAAACATCTACGTGTTGGTGACCAGAAAAATCCCATCCTCGTAGGGCTGAGGTACCATTTGTTGTGGTGGTGGTGGTGGTGGTGGTGGTGGTGTGTTTTCCTGTTGCTGTTGTTGTTTGGTTGATTTTGTTTTGCTTTTGTGTGGTTCTAGCCGGTTGAATATCATTCTTCATGGCTTTATGAAGTCATGTATGTGACTTCCCTCTGTGGCATGTGCTGGCCTGTATGCCCCCTGTTCCCATACACAGAAGTGAGGTGAGAATTTATTTATTATGTCACCCAGTTACAGATGGCAAGAGGAGGAAAAGGAGAATTAATGTGGAGGTTACATGAGAGGAACGAACATTTAACTTTCTTTCATTTCTAACAAAAGAACATGGGATGGTCCTGAGCATCTTGCCCCAAGAAGAAAAATCTGGTGTTGTAAACATATAAAATAATGCCTAACTTGGTCTCTAAGTACCAGCCAAGTACTCTCAGTGATGTCCAAAGCAATAGGAATATGTTTCAGGCTGCTTGCAATTGTTTCTCTTGTGTGTGTGTATGGCTTTATCCCACAGTATTAAACACACAGAGCCACATATACAAGGTTTTGTGAATGGTTTAGATTTTTTCCAGAGTAATTTTGACTGCTGGTGATTTCTGCCTTCTATAGTATATGCAAAATGTCATAACACACATATCAAGATCTGTCCTAACACCTAAAGAGATGGCTCAGGTGTTAAGAGTACTTTCTGCTTTTGCAGAGGACAGAGTATCTACAAGATGGCTCACAACCATCTCTAACTCAGTTCTAGGCAACCCAATGTCCTCTTCCGACCTCCTGGGGCACCAAGCATGTGGGTGGTGTGGTGTATATCTGTGTATCTGTGTGTTGTGTGAGTGCAGGTGTGTATATGTGCACAAAATATTCTAAAATAAATATAATAAATCTAATATATATATAAAATAAATCTAAAAAATAAAAAGATCTGTTCTTACAATATGACATTTTTTGTGATATGTGATACAGCCCTTAACTTCTTTTTAAAATGTACAACAAATAAAAAGTAATAAAAAACCAAAAAAAAAAAAGTAATATTTAATTTTTCTGTTGTTGTTTCGTGGGTTTTTTTGTTTGTTGGTTTGGTTTGGTTTCTTGTTTTGTCTTTTTTGTTGTTGTTGTTTTATGTTTTAGAGTCAAGTTTTTTCTGTATAGCTCTGGCTGCTCTTAGAACTCACACTGTAGGCCAAACTGGCCTTGAACTCACAGAGATTTGCTTGCCTCTGCCAACCGAATGCTGGGATTAAAGGAGTGCGCCACCACAGCCCAGCCTATTTTAAATAGTTTTAAAAGCTGAACATGAAGTCACACACCTGCCAGCCCAGAACTTAGGAGCTGGATGCAAGAGAACAGGCAGTCCATGGCCAGTCTGGATACAGAGACAGCTTAAGGCCAGCCTGGGTTATGTAAGGCCCTGTCTCAAAAAAGTGCAGATAAAAAATAGAAGAAAAAAAGAAAAACAATGTGACAACTACCCCCAAATCCCAAAATATTCTCTAATCAATGCACAGTTAGTGGGTTGTAAGTTAATGCGATCAGAACCTCATGCTGGCCTCTGTTATATACTGTTCGGACTAAATAGATAGTACAAAACAGACAGGAAAGGAAATAATTACACCGTCCTCCTCAATGGAGAAAGAGTTAGTGACCTCTTTTAAAGTGCTCCTCAGCCCCCAGTGACGTCATTCAGGTCTTACCCTGGCCAGAGTCTACCTCCAAGACAGGAATGTGGAGATTGAGTCACAGGAGACAGCATTGCGGTCAAACACCATCTCTTTGCCATCCTTCTACTTTACAGAGACTGTGGTCTTTTGGCCAAGCTGGGGAGAGGCTGAAAGGAAAGGGGAATAGGCCTTGGAGGAACTCAGTACTGTGCAGAAGGCTTTTAGGACAAGGAAGAAGTCACACCTGTGTCCATGGGTCCCAAATGACTTCTCAAAGGAGAAGCAGTGTCTCAAACAGAGTGAACCTGCTCCTGGCCTTCCTGTTCCCAAGGCTGGAAATGCCTCATCTCTTTTGGCCTCTGGACAAAAAAAAAAAAAAAGAAGCAACAACGAGAGAGAGAGAGAGAGAGAGAGAGAGAGAGAGAGAGAGAGAGAGAGAGAGAGAGAGAGAGACAGAGAGACAGAGAGACAGAGAGACAGAGAGAGAGAGACAGAGAGAGAGAGAGGGGAAAATTGGGAACTAGAAACAGAAAAGCCCCCTTGCCCTTCCCCTTTATCAATGGTTTTGAAAGGATTGCTGTAAGACACTGACTAATGACACGTGACCTCTGGATTCTCTGCTAGACGGCAGGCTTGGCCTGTGCCCAGCAGGAACTCCTCTGCCAGTCAGGGGTCACTCTCTCCATTCAATGGTGTATTCGCTCCCTCCAGTCTCAGGGCAAAAGCCCTGCTGCTCTGGGCCATTTACAGCTGCGAATGAGGAAAGCTATTGAGCTTGGAGAGAGGCTCTGTTTGTTTTCTAGAGGAAGCTTTGGTGAGCTTGGCCCCTCCTGCTGTCTCTCCGGAGCTGCTGAAGAGATAAAAGCCATACCTCCTTTAGACCTTCATTGGACAGTAGGAGCCCCAGCTCAGCATGGGATAATAAAGGCATATGCCGCATAAATTATCTAGTGATTGGCATGCTTTCTTCCTGCTCCGACTTAAAAGGGGAAGTTGGTGGGGGTGGTGCTGGGCACAGAACCATGAAGCCCAGTTGGTTTAGTTAAGCACTTACTATGTTCCAACCCTCAGAAGCACTCCGTGTTTCTCACAGCAGTTCTAGGAAACAAATATCATTTGTCCCTGGGCTGTACATGAGGCGACAGACTTAGAAACGCTGAACGGTTCTCCCAGGGATCCACAGGAAGGCAGTGAAATGTACCATAGTTGGCTGCAAGGATGCTCTCTCAAACGGGCTGGGATGTGGCTCAGTACGGCAACTTGCTTAGTGTGCACGAGGCTTTTGGTTTTATCCTCAGTATGGAAACATTCCATAAACTCTTGAAAACAGTTACTAAGGGCTTTTAAAATGCTCAGCGGGTGAAGACGCCAAGGCCAACCACTCGAGTTCAATTCCCAGAAAGGAAAGAACCAACTTTAGCAAGACGTCTGTTGACGTCCACCCATGTACCTGGTATGTCCCATAGCACCAAAAATAAATACTTTTTAAAAATTAATAAATAACTAATTAATTACTTCACAGCCCAATTACAGTTTCCCCTCCCTCCTCTCCCCCCAATCCCTCTCCCCAGACCCTCCCCGCCACTCCTTCTCCTTTCTCTTCAGGAAAGTGCAGACCTCCTATGTGTATCAGCCAGCCATGGCATATCAAGTTGCAGTATGACTAGGCACCTCCTCTCCTATTAAGGCTGGATGAGGCAACCCAGTAGGAGGAAATGGTCCCAAAAGCAGGTAACAGAGTCAGAGACAAGCCCTGCTCGCTCTGTTAGGAGTTCCACAAGACCAAGCTACACAACTGTAAAATGTTTAAAAGTTTTAAGTGTTAAATTATTTGCCAAACTAGCCTCCTCAATCAGTCTCTGACTCCAGGGATGAGGGATGGAGAGAGGGGAGAGAGGGGAGGCCAGCACAAGACAAGAAAGACACAGGGTCACCCATCTGCTGTTTTTCTAACAGTATTTAAGGACAACCTGCTATGACCAGTCATGTTTCAGCATGAAGGGCTTTTCCTTGAGAATTTTGCATCCCATCAGGGAGACCACGGAAAACCAGGGCGTCCAAAAACCACATGGCTTTTGAATGAGGGGAGAACTTTGAGTAGAGGAAGGCAAGGTGCCAAGAGAGAGAATGTCTGGTAGAGAGAGGCCATAACAGTAAACCCCCAACCAGAAGGGGGGACGTTTGTCCTGAGTGACAAGGAAGAGGGAGGGGCGCTGGAGAGATGGTTAAGAGCACTTGTTGGCTGGCAGAGGACCTGGGCCTGATACCCAGCGTCACATGGTAGCTCCCAAGCATTCCTAACTCCCGGGCACTCAGGTACACATTCATGAACATAAAATGAATGTAAAACATTTTTTAAGATTCACTTATGAGTGAGTACATACCATGTTTGTCCTTCTGGGTCTGGGTTACCAACCCAGGCCCTCTGAATATGTGTGACAGTTGTGTAGCTTGGTCTGTTTGTAAGGTTCCTAGCAGTGAAACCAGGACCTGTTCCTGGCTTTTGGGAACCTGTTCCCCATGATGGATTACCTTGCCCAGCCTTGATGCAGGGGGAGGAGCCCGGTCCTATGTCAACTTGATGTGCCAAGCTGTGTTCAAGGCCCCATAAGAGGCCTGCTCCTTTCTGAATGGAGATGGAGAAGGGGTGGGAAGTTGGGGAGGAAGGTAGATGGGAGTGGCGAGGAAGGAACGAGAGAAGAGGAGGGAGGGGAAACTGTTGTCTGCATGTAAAATAAAGGGGAAAATGTTTTAAAAAATTTTTTAAAGAAAAAGGAGGGTACTGTGAGGAGCTCACAGGAGCTGTCCAAGGAAAGGACACAGAAGAGCAAATCCTTGCGGGGTAGGGGAGACAGCCCTGATGTGGTGCTTGCCCTGCAGATCTGTGTTGTCCTGCAGGTCAAAAGCTGAAAAGGATAACCCTAGCATCCTGGAAAACACATAGATCAGTTCAAGGATCCTAACCATATAAGCTCATTAACAAACAAATCACCAGAGAAAGAGGTACCTTCAACATTGTTGAAAGCCTGTCACAAATTGATCAGGACAGACAGAACGACAGACAGCTAGCAACTGAAGTACTTAAATGTAAATGGGTGGATATTGTTATGACTGACAGCATTATCCACTGACTGATGGATGTACTGATCGACACCCTGGAACCACAGGACCCTACCTGAGGACCCAGAAAATATGAATGATCCTTGAGGGAGGATGTATGCAGCAAGGCCAAGCAGAACCAGGACAGTAATAGGTTACCATGGACAGGGAAGGCCTTAAACCCAACAAAAGTCAGGGAGAACACCTCCGTGGATAACAGAAACTTAGAGCATGATTAGTAGGAGAACTTCCCCCAGTGCTGTTGGCTCCTACCCCTCTGGGAAGTGAAGACGCATATGTGCTGTAGCCTTAAGTGGCTCTGCTGTGAGTTAAATCTCCTTAACAAAACCCAAGTTAAAGCATGAGTTACTAAGGCTCATGACCAGTAATGTAAGCAGTCCTGTGACTCTAAGAGTGAGTAGCAGCATACTCAAGAACACCCAAGCCTTGCTAGGACCCCTCTAATGCAGGGATGGCGTGAGGTGAGCAGACCCAAGCCAAACAATCAAGTCACTAAAATATTAGCCAGTCTAACAATGACATAAGTCAGAAATAAGTATACAACGTCATTTTGGATCCCAAAAACAAATGAAATTTAAAAAAAATAATCGCCGGGCGGTGGTGGCACACGCCTTTAATCCCAGCACTCGGGAGGCAGAGCCAGGTGGATCTCTGTGAGTTCGAGGCCAGCCTGGGCTACCAAGTGAGTTCCAGGAGAGGCGCAAAGCTACACAGAGAAACCCTGTCTCGAAAAACCAAAAATAATAATAATAATAATAATAATAATCTTTATTACTAGGCACCCGGAACACCTAAAAATCTTGCTTGTGAATTATTAGCAGGCTGCCTGACTGCGAAATATCATCAGAACTATTTAAGTAATATCAAATAACACTTACGACACAATTACTCCCAAATCAAGGCCTAAGACAAAAAAACAACAACAACAAAACAAACAAAACAAACAAACAAAAAACTGGAAGGTGGCTGGAGAGTTGGCTTAGCAGTTAAGAACACACACTGCTCTTCTAGAGGACCCAAGTCCTGTTCCCAGCTACCCATACTGAATACTGAACAAATGCCTATATCAGTTCCAGGGGATCTGACTCATCTGCCTCTGTGGACACCTACACACATGTGTATACACACACACACACACACACACACACACAAATAATTAAAAATAAATCTTTAAGAAAAGAAAGTAGAGCTGTGCACACCTTTAATCCCAGCACTTGGGAGACTGAGGCAGGAGGATCTCTGAGTTTAAGGCCAGCCTGGTCTACAGATTGAGTTCCAGGACATCTAAGGCTACTCAGAGAAACCCTGTCTCAAAAAACCAAAGAAGAAGAAGGAGGAGGAAGAGGAGGAGAAGGGAGGAGGAGGAGGAGGAGGAGGGGAGAACTCAGAAAGGAAACTGTGAGAAGGTAACAGTGGATGGGTCAATAGGGATGGGGGCTAGGAAAATGAGGTAAGAGAAAAATCTACCAAGCACATTTTGTGAGAAATGCCATAGTATTGTCTAACACTTAGAATGCTAATTTAGAGAATTAAAAATAAATGACAGTTCAAATCAGAGGAGGGAGTAGTGGGCAGGGCCAAGAAAATAGGTGTTATGATTAAATCGTATTTTATAAAAAATCTTTTGACAGGCTGGGCGATGGTGGCACACGCCTTTAATCTGAGCACTTTGGAGGCAGAAGCAGGTGGACCTCAGTGAGTTCAAAGCCAGCCTGGTCTAAAGAGCAAGTTCCAGGACATCCAGGACTGTTACACAGAGAAACCCTGTCTCAAAAACAACAACAACAACAACAACAACAAAAAAAAAAAAAAAAAAAAAAAATCTTTTGACAGGATGCAGCTTAATGATAAGGATATATTCTGAGAAACATGTTGGGCAATTTTTCTTTTTTTGGATGTTTTGGGGATGAAATCCAGGGCCTTGCTCCTGTTAGGCACCTGGCTGGCTGGGGCAGCCTTATGTACTTCCTTCCAAGCTCCACACAGAAGGCCTCTGAAGTCAGAGCAGGAGCTCAGGGGCAGGTTCAAGATGGCAGACCGGTCAGGCACCTTCTATCTTCAGGGTCTCCAACACCTGTTTCTCACGGTCTTAAGGACTCCATGAAGCCACAGTTAAAAGTTCTAGGCACATCTAAATCCTCAAGACATGGTAAGATCCTGTCACTGGAAATGTATTTTACTAGTCACTCTATGTGGCTTCCCACCAAAGTCTATCAG